TGGTATGCCAAATATTATTTTCTTTTCGTTACAAATTAGTCAATATTTCCAAAGTAATAAATAGGGTGAGACATGCGTGTGATTATTTTCGAATGCCTAGTAGATAGAAGTAGATGATTTAAAAATCTCTTTAAAATGAAATCCGAAAAATTCAATTACGAAAAACACACTCGTTTGCGCGATACATTTTGAAATGAAAAATATGACGAATACTATCTATCGATACTACGTTCCTTTAGAGAAATATTGAGTTAATACATAAATGTAATTACAAAACGACACGCGTATCATTTTGATGGGTAATTTAACATACTCGTGTGGAATATGACAGTGAGAAAAAAAACCTCAGAGCGAGACCCGCAAACGGAAGTGATCGTAAATCTTGTACTCGCTCTCGTCGAAGACCGTTTCGCGTTAAGCCATCTAATTAAACGAGTTTCTTTCTAAATAGTTTCCGTCCGCACACGTGTAAATTACACAGTGCAATTGATATAAAAATAATTACAACTACTGTCGTCTTTATTCTCAAAACGAATCCAAATGTCACGTACCAATCATTAAAAGTATCACTTGCATGTTGTCAGGCGTCCACACGCAAATAATCCAACACAGAAAATTGTCCAATATAAGAAAAAACGATCACATGATCGTTTTCACATTTAAACCAAGTCCGAGTGACATTAAATTAGGGGTCATATATCGTGTTGCTCGGTGTTATTTACATAACTGCTTAAAAGGTCAACGCGATGCACGACTTGGAGGTTTTCTATGAGCTGCGTTTTTTCCTTCGTTTGCTTTTTTTTTTTTTACAAAATTCGTATGTTTGTTTAGTTCAGCATAAAATAATAATTTAAAGGATTATGTGATATTTTATTCATTAGTTTCTCCAGAAATGGAATAAAAGTTGCACAGGTGCACACAGCACATGGAATACATAATAGAACCGCTCGGTTTCTGGAGAGTAAAATCACCTTGATTTTGTTGGGCCAATTTCAGATTTTAATCTCATCGGTCAGCACGACGTCCGTGCTCCATTTTTATCTGATATCACATCTTCAGACATGTCTGGAGTGTACAATGCGCACAGGACAACACATCTAATATGATAGGTCAGATTAACGAACACTAAATAATATCATTTACATAACGTGAAAGTACAAAAAAAAAGTTCAGCTTTTAGGCAACAATTATAGATTAAATATTATATACAAAAGTACGACTCGAAAAATATACATGCGACACGGACTATTTATTACATGGCAGATCACATTATTTTAATTAAACAATTTAATTACTCAGTAACCGGTTGTTGTTTTAATGGTTTTATGATTTCAAACAGTCCCTCTAAATTACACGCAATATGTTTATTTGGATTTCACGATTATTCGACGAAGCACTACCGTTGAGTCGATCGTTTCCTAGTCATCGGCGACGGCCACGTCTCTCACGCATCGATGGAACCGTCACGTCTGACCTTTAACACTGACCCCGCCGGGATCAAGGACTGCCGGCCGGCCGGGCGTGCGTGGCCGTTGTATGTTCTCTTCAAAGTCCGTGCATTAGCTAGTACGGAGGCGGAGAAGACAAAAGGTGGAGGTCACATTCTTGTTCCGCCCGCGGGGGCCCGAGGGCTACGGTGGCCACTGCCGCTTGTCGCCCCAATCAAAACCAGATCATCAACCGGTTGTAGTAGTAGTTGTTGTTGTCCGACCAACTGGTCTTATGTGCACACAACGCGCTAGAGATCCCTACGCAAACTAATGCACTTGCCTCCGTTATCGTTTCGCGAGCTCCTTTGCCAATTCATTTCAACAGGCGTATCTTTGATAATATCTACTAAATAACTTCAATAAAAACGATACAGACAACAACCATCGTATAGTCGCCATTTTTTTTTTTTGCTAAGACTGTACGGAATTTATCAATTACCTTACGTATAATTTTATTGATATTTACATTCCACCTAAAAACGCCAATCGTATATTTTAATGACTCATTTGCTTTTTTTTTTCATTCAATTTTTTTTAATTACGTATTATATATTTGATTTATTAATCCAGATACATTAGCATTTAAATAGTTCAAGAATATCATTTATGGAAACGAACAAAATAAATGGCATTTAATACAGCCAAGGCCGATCGTGAAACTGTTGGTTTTCATGTATTCATTAAAATTATAATATCATTTGAATATTGTTGACTATTACGAACAAATTTTCCATTTAATATATTTAACTAAATGTATTAATCGAATTATACAAATCCTATTGCAAATATCCACGAAGAACAAACATTAGTCTTCATTTCAGCTGATAGTCAATATCACTATAAAAGCAATATGAACATCTAATGATCACCACAAAAACAAAGACAACTAGTACATGCAGTTTACAAATCACTTTATTACACATACAATCGGTATGGTTTTTCAGTTGTGCGTTTCTTCACTGTGCCAAATGACACTATTATTATTAAATGACAATACGATATTCGACGGCCAATGACTGACAAAAAAAGATTGTAAGATTTTAGCTGCTCCACATTAAGGTCAAATATTCAAATTACAACTCGTTAAATTTCATATCAATGACAGCTTATTGATTAATTCTTCTCGATGACTGAGAGAAAAGTGCGCATGCTGTCGATTGTCGAGGACGGTGATAACTAAATCCGTGTGGGTGTTACACAGTTAATAAACACATTAAGTGTAATACGGGCGCGAGTAATCGAACAATGGATTATAAATTATTGTCACCACTAAGCAATAAAACATGGATAGATATTACCACAAGCAAGATGGCGATTTTCCAAACAACACTTGACTTCTTAACGGCTTCTTGTAGTTTCTTTAGCCACAAACAAAGATTATGACCATTAAACATATCAAATTTTACGTGACATTTAACGTACTGGTCGTCCCTAAGTACTGCATAGATGATTGTTCAGCTCTTCAGAAATACACACACACATATATATATATATATATATTACAGAGAAAATGTTTAAATGTAAAATCAGACGTTTTTCACGGTCCACTGTGTCATAGCTGCTGCTGTACGCACGACCGCCTGTTGTGGTCAACAGTTTTTTTTTTCATTTCGTGATGTTTTCTCTCTTTTATTGTTATAATTCCTTAATATCGTATTGTCGAGCCACACGAGTATTTCGTGTTCTTCTTATTATTATTTTCTACAATCGTTACACGTTGTATTATTATTATTCCAAATACGACACATTAAGCTGCCCAAGAGGACGGCCAAAGGAAATGCCTAAGCGCACATCAACCCGTAAATCCACCGGACAGTGACGACCGTAGTATTTTAATTTTCCACCTCTCGAGCGCACCGTCTTTTCCTCCGCCGTTACCCCGAAACGACCCCGACGGCATAATTGTTGTACTGGTCGTAAACAGCAGATTGCCGTCCATATCCTTCCACCGACAAACGTCTCAACCCCGAAGCGATTACAGCACATGTATCGCACACCACGATGACCTCCGCACCTGTACAATAATTTTTTTACAGACCCGAACGGCAGGTACTCAGATGATCGCGTGCCGGCCCTCGAGGTGCTGCCATCCATAATTGTCGGCCCGTGTAATTTTCAGTATAAAACTATCAAATGTTTGCAGTTCACGATTCCCCTCCCCCCAACCGTCGCAACAATTCTATTGTTTTCTGAAACTTTGCCCCAAGAGCGATAGCCATCTTTATCGGCTCATTATTTCCGTGGTGTTCGTGAATGTAATGGCTCACTATAAAATTGATATTCTCAGTACTACACTGAAATATTTTTCAGGTATCGTGTATGTTTTAAGGCCCGTATTATTTTTCAACTATAACGAAGCGTTGTAATTGTTATTGCCACTGGCCTGGACGTTAAACCGATTGACTGGTTTTTGACGCCCCGAGACAGCGTTTATCTCGGCCGGTGGTTGACGTGACATCTTCTGGTGTGGTCGCTGGTACGTTATGGGCTTGGGTACGATATGTTTCAAGAAATTCAACGAACGGGCGTTTGAGTATACTCTAACACGAATAATATATTGCCACAGCGAGGTCGACCGGATATCGGTTCACCTGTAAAATATGTAACGAAAAAATCATCTAGCGATTATGTGCGCGCATTATATTTCAAACGTGACTACTCGCCAACATGTTTCGTACCAAAAGCGTGGGATGTCAACGAGGAAATG